AAATGTGAGGTATCTTGTGAATACCAGAAGTCACTTGTACATACTGTAATTCTATAAAACATCTAAGTGTTGTTATATATTGCCTTACCAATAAGTCTACATACGTTGAGTGACCACATGTCAAAGATATGTTGACATGGCATGATCGATCTGATCACTAACCCCTGTGGGGTGTGTGTGTGTGTGTGTGTGTGTGTGTGTGTGTGTGTATGTATGTATGTGTATGTATGTATGTGGTATGTGTGTGTGATGTGTGTGTATGTGTGTGTGGTGTGTATATGTGTGGTGTGTGTGTGTGTGTGTGAGATGTATGTGTGTGTGTGAGATGTATGTGTGTGTGTATGTGTGTGTGTATGTGTGTGATGTGTGTGTATGTATGTGTGTGTTGTGTGTGTGTGATGTATGTGTGTGTTGTGTGTGTGATGTGTGTGTGTTGTGTGTGTGTGTGATGTGTGTGTGTTGTGTGTGTGATGTATGTGTGTTGTGTGTGTGATGTATGTGTGTGGTATGTGTGTGATGTATGTGTGTGGTGTGTGTGTGTGTGTGTGTGTGATGTATGTGTGTTGTGTGTGTGATGTATGTGTGTTGTGTGTGTGATGTATGTGTGTGGTATGTGTGTGATGTATGTGTGTGGTGTGTGTGTGTGTGTGTGTGTGTGTGTGTGTGTGTGTGTGTGTGTTTGGGGAAGTGTTGCAAGAATTGGCTTTGCTTCCTTGAGGGAAAACAGTACCTTCGAATCTGTCATTTTTTTCTGTGATAATCCCTTTCCCTTTTTGGAAAGTTAAGCACTAAGGCCCCGGGGGACTTGTGTTCGCAGGTAGAGTAGGTTTGCTCCTTCTTTGCTTTATCACAGAGAAGTCATCACTGCTAAGGCAGTGAAGTTCTCTAAACTTCCAGCTCTGTTGTTTATTGTTCCAAAAGTTGTTAGAGTGTTTTGTTTTTCTCCTCACAAAGAAGCAATGATTGACATTAGGATTTTGTTTCTCCAGTCTGTTCTTAAAGTGTCCACTGTGAGTGATGAGACTTTATCTGCTCCTGCAGCAGAACTACACATCTGTCGTCCATCACCTCAGGCATCATGGAGGCTCCGACCTGAACAGGCAATCCTGCCTTCCTTATAGGCAGCTCTGCTCCTGTGGAGTACAAGTTCACGTACATTTCTCCTGTAATCTGAGTTTTTGTGTTAAAGGGTACATTTCAGTGTCAGTGGTAAAACATTTTAATGAAAGTCACATGTGAATTATGGGTAAAATCTAGTGGAGTAGCCTAGGATTGGAGCAGGTGTGAGCCTAAAGTGGACATATTTGCTTTTCTGTGGTTAGGTCATAGGGTTTCTACAGCAGTGTGGGCTCCGATGAGGATGACTGTCCTCGTGGTATGTGTCTTTGGATTTTATTTATTTATTTATTATTGTTTTTTGTTTTGAAACAAGGGTCTCTGCATAGACCTGGCTGGCCTCAAACTCACAGAGATCCACCTGCCTCTGTCCCCGAGTGCTGGGATTAAAGCTGTGTGCCACCATGCCTGTGTTTGTTTGTTTGAGACAGGGTCTCACTGTGTAGCCCTGGCTGGCCCACCTGCCTGTGCTCACTGCGTGCAGTGCAGGGGTTAAAGGTGGTTTCACTAGTTGCCTTTGGGCTACTGGAAGAGCTTCTACCAATGAAAAAGCTTCTTGGATATTTTCCAGTATAGCAAAATGAAAAACCTAATTAACTGAAGTTCAGTTTATTAGAACCTAACCTACAGTTAGTAATTTCCTCTCCCACCAGATGCCACTTTAGATACAGAAGAAAAAACAACCAAACAATTGGCTGAGAATTCAAAGTAAACTCTAGAGCATAACCAAGGGATTCTGGAACCTTCGTGCCAAGCAGCATCGGGTGCAGCTGGGATGATTCCTCTGCTGTCTCAGGCGGTTGGCCCTGTGCTTGCCGTCTGCCAGTGAGCTGACTCAAGGGCCAGGGACCTCCGGAATGGCTGAGCAGTAAAGCAGAGAGGGCGCCGGGGCTGACGAATGTGTGCTCTCGCAATGCAGCCTCAGGCTCCAGCTTCCGGGGTGGCCTAGGTTTCTTCTCAAGATTTTTTTTGTTTTGTTTTGTTTTGTTTTTGTTTTTGTTTTTTTTTTTTTTTTTGTTTGCGATACAGGGTTTCTCTGTGTAGCTTTGGTGCCTGTCCTGGAACTCGCTCTGTAGACCAGGCTGGCCTCGAACTCACAGAGATCCGCCTGCCTCTGCCTCCCAAGTGCTGGTGCTGGGATCAAAGGCGTGCACCACCACCGCCTGGCTCTTCTCAAGATTTAAACAAAGAGAGAAAGAGAGAGAGAGAGAGAGAGAGAGAGAGAGAGAGAGAGAGAGAGAGAGAGAGAGAGAGAGAGAGGAGGGAGAAAGAAAGAAAGAAAGAAAAAGACAAAAAAGAAAGAGAAAAAAATCTATTTGACACCAAACTGCCAATTTTTTTCTTTAAAAAAAACTGCATTTTTCTGTTTTTGTTTGTTTGTTTGTTTCTCTTTGTTCTCCTCTTCTCTAACTTGCCATTTTCTTTACATGAACACAGTATAAAGCTTCCATATTTATATAACAAATTTAAGAGCGTCTGGGTTAAACAAATTTTTATTTCTGAAATAGGAGGGAAATGTTATTTTCTGATTCACGTGTGGTTTGTATAGCAGCTTGCTTCAGTTCTACATTTCTTAGATAATAGTAATGCTGCTTCACAGGGCGGATTCTGATATGGCACAGTATCCCAATCCTTAAGGAATAAAAATGAACTACTCCTTAGTGGTAAGTCTTTGCACCCTGAAGGCCTCTCTGCCGACTCAGCAATTCAAATTAAACCAAATCAGACTGAGTTGGAAAAGCCCAGGTTTAATGGGTAAAGCGTTCCCCGGTGATTCCCCAGCCCCTCAGAGAGGAGACCGGAAGAACCACATGTCTGTTTTCTGGGATGCGGCTTATATACCCTGTGGGGAGTGGTCTTGAGCCTCTCTGGAGGAGGAGCTGTGTTTGGTGGGCTTTGAAGGGGTGGGTTTGGGGTAAGAGATGGGGGAGGGGAGTTCAGGTGGATCTTCCACCAGAACATTCCAGACTCTTTGGGTATAGGGATGCCAGGGTGCCAGAGGTTAAGGTGGAGCTGCTACCCAAACACTTAGTAGTTACAGTACTGTACAAGCTATCCTGTTTTTGTTTTGAGACCGGGTTTCTCTGTGTAGCCTTGGCTGTCCCAGAACTCACTCGGTAGACCAGGCTGACCTCAAACTCACAGACATCCACCTGCCTCTGCCTCCTGAGTGCTGGGATCAAAGGCATGTGCCACCACTGCCTGGCAGAAATTAGTTTCTTAATATTAAATTACTTTAGTATTTGTGTTACTACAAATAAGTGTGTTCATGAAGGAAGTTGGTCTATAATTCTCAATTTTCCTCTCCCTTTGGTTTCAAAGATTGACACTCCCAGGTACTGAGCCTATAGCCTTGTACTTGATGTACAAGCAATCTATCCCTGGACTAGATCTCCAGCCCTGAAACTTCCTCTTTTGGTTTTATTTGTTAGGCTTTGTCTTTAGTATTAGTCTCTTCTCAAAATGTGATGGAAAATATTTCTCCACCGTGTTCCTCAGTGTTTGCGGCTTTGACCAAATATAAGAAAAAGAACTTAAGGGAGAGATTCATCTTGACTCACAGTCTCAGATGGCTCAGTCCGTGGTTGGTTGGCCCCATTGCTTCTGGGTGATGATGAGACAGACAGACCATCATGGCAGAAGGACATGGAGCAAAGCAGCTTACCTTATGGTGGCCAGGATGCAGAGACTGGAAGGGCTGGGCACAAAGAAGGTGTATCTTTCCAGGCGTGTCTTCCAGTTAGGACCCACATCCTACTTTCCACCTCCTCCCAACAACGCCACAGTTCCACAGCTCTGTAAAGGATGAATCTGTGATGAAGTCAGGGCCCCAGTGAGCCGGGCCCTTCCCCCAAGTCCCACCTCTGAACACTGCTGCACTGGGAACCAAGCTTTCGATATAGGAGCCCTCTGGGAAACAAATCTATACAGGTTCTTCTCTGTGACCAACTCATTCCACTTGGCTGGATGAGGAAAGAGCAGGTAGAAGTACTGACCCTTTCCGATTTCACAGATGGTGAGGTGTTGTGATTGAGTGATTAGCTTAGTTGCATGTAATAATTCTAAATTTATTTAAATTATTTATCTAGATTTACCTAAATTATTCTAAATGTAATGACATGATGCTTTTGTTAATACTTGGAAAAACTTTATGTCATATATTACATATTGCCTCTTAGCTTTTTGACTAAAGATCAAGTGTTTGCCATACATTATAAATGATATATTATTACTTGTTATTTTAAATGAAAACACTATACCTTTTTTTGGTTGTTTTAGTGTGTAGACTACTTATTCTAGTAGTACAGTTTTGAAAAATTCAAAAATTCAGTGTATTGTTAAATGGACATTATACAAGCCAGTAACACCATTGTTGTAATGACATTGATTTTAAAATGTGATTTCCAAGTGGCTGTGGCAGCACAGGACTGTTATTTCAGCACTTGGAATGTGGAGCAAGAAGATTGGGGATTCAAGGCCAACTTGGATTGCATAATAAGCCCATCTCTAAACAAATAAACTAACTAATATAAGCATATTTGAGTGTCTTTTTTTTTTTCTGTTGTCAGTATTGGACATTTGTTAAGTCATCCAGAGTTTCCATTTAAAGACAAGTTATGTTTCTGGGATGTGATTCTACTGTAACAGACGCACATGGGCTCCTGCATAGTGCTGTCATGACCTAAATAGAAGAGAGCCCATGTGTGTGACCCACAACATATGGCTGAAGCTGCTTAGCGCCTGATCTTGTCATTTACTCCAAACCAATATTCTTTAAAATGGATGATTTTGATCAACTAACCTAAATATATCTTTGCATTTCCTAAGTCTGTTGCTCTACCGTAGTAACTAATTCTTGTTCCGTACCCTTTCTTCCCCTTTAGAAAAATTGGAAGCTCAACCACCCACTCCAGGACAGCTGAGATACGGTAATGGTTCTATAATTGTGAAACTGATATGCATCTCTCTTTTGGACCTGAAGGAACTGTTTCTTATAATAGCACAAAAGTCAGCAAATTAAACCTTTCTGGTAGAATGGATTATCCTGTTTTTCATCTAGGAGTACTCTCTAAACATTGTTGAAGATATATCATAATATTATGGGATAACTAATATTTTTATATGTTCTTATCTAGTAATAAAAGTAAATTTATGTTAGAAGATTTCTTAATTTGCAGGAAAATGTGTGTTATATTTACTTCCTAGGCAAAATTTAAATTAGGTAACTGCAGAACTTAATTTTAGATTCAGGCTAACTGTTCTCTGATGCAGAAAGTGTTTCTGGGTAGCGTTCGTAGCTAGACGAAAGTAAGCGAAGTTCGTCTGAGGAGGAAGAAGCCTCATTATGGAGCTCAGCTATGTTCTGTTAGGATATGAATGTTGCAGGTTAACATGGGAGTGATGTAAAACAGTTTAGGGTCTTATTAAAAGACAGTAGAAAAGACTCATTTAAAAGTGTACCGGTGAATTTGAGTAGGTGGTAATTAAGTAGGTAATTAAATATTAAACGTGATTTGCTAACAACTGCTTAGCTATAGAATAGTGTTTGCCAGAGGGAGTTGAAGAAAGAGCGAATTAGTAGGAGATCACTCTTCACTGGAAGGAAATTCAAATGACGAGGAAAAAAACTAATGATAGTTCCTTTTTTTCTCTCATGGGTAGAATATAATTTATGTTAGGAATTAGTAACTTTCCTCCAAAACCAAAACAATTTAAGAATTCTTTAAGATCTCTCTTCCCAGGTAATCTTTCCTGATTCTCCCAGCCCATACTCCTAACCCGGTACCGATAGTGCATGCGTTACTATTACCATTTTTTGTAGGTGATGTTGAAATTAACTGTTTATGTGGTTAGGTTTCTATGTCTAAATCCTCTGAGATGTGGAACCCAAGTTTTATATATCTTTACAGCTGGGGTTCCCAGTAGGGAGCTCAGTGCATACTTTTTTCTTTGAGAAACTGTTTTCCTCCTTTGAATTAAAAGTAAATTTTTATTTATAAGACAAATTTATTTAAATATAAACATAAAGACCTACTTCATAGTTCATTAGTTGATTAGTATGGCAGTATGCCTTAGCTTTACTGACCAGACTTCTACCAGGATGAACTAGTAGTGCGACCTTAATGCCATCAACACCTTGTTTTAAGGGATTCTTAGAGGTGCCATCACATATTCAAACACTAAGTAATCTCAGCTTGTTTCTTGGTTATTTCCTCATATTTGTGTTCCAGAAGCCATGGAGAAGGCTGTGTCTAGATACACCTACACGTTTCCCTTCACTGTGTGGGCTTCTTTGGGTGACTTTAAAATTTCCCGTGTACCTAGTTACCTATTGAGTTTATGTTGTAGTTGGGAGGTAGGGTTGTGTGCGTGTTTTGGAAGCTGTTTACTATAAAAAGTCGAATGTTCAGTCGGTGCCCAATTGGATTAGATGAAAAGCCAGAGAAGTAAGACTGGGGTCTTCAGGTGAATCCCATTTCATGAATGTGACATTTGACTTTTACATCTTGATACCTTTCACAGTAATAATCACAATGGGATATTCTGCTTTTCATCATAAACATTGTTACTGTGACAAGCAGAGACCTGAAATATCTATTGTGTACTACCATTGTAACTATAATAATCTATACATGATGATGCATATTATTATGCTGAATATGGTATTTCTTTGATAGTAGTTGTGAATAGAAGTGTTAATTTTTTAAGAATTACTGCCTACTGGCTTTCCCTGATGGTAGAGAAGTCACCATAGAATATCACATTTTCCTAACTTCTGGATTATATTTTTAATTACATTGTATATTTAATTGTGTTAAAAGAAAAAAGAATCTGAAGTCACTAATAAGTATAACCAGCTGGCTTAAGGGAGGACTGCTTTTAAATACAGTATGAGACTCAGATTCTTGATGTTTATTGAAAAAAGCTGTCCGTTGAGCTGACGTTGGCTATGCCTTAGAAGTTGTAATGATCAAATAGAATAGTCTTTTCCTGTTCCCAGCCTTTAATTTGTTTCACAGTATGCCTCCAGTTGTCTGACTATGGAATTAGCTTCTTTTGCAGGTTAGTAGTCCTCAATTATTTTTTTAGCATCTGCTGTGTACTCAGCATTCAGCATTATACAGTGTGCTGAAGATACAAATTTGAAAAAGTGAGGCTAGATTATAAAAACAACAGCAACAACAACAACAACAACAACATGTTTTTCCTGCTTTGCTTTTCATATCCCAGGTTTCAGGTTATGTACCGGATAGCAGGAAGAGGCCTTCAAGCCACAGTTTGATGCAGAGCAAATACCGATTCTTACAGTTTCCAGTAGCACTTAGGAGTCCTGGTGGGTTCTGAGACGTTAGAGACTGCTCATAGATGTCAGATGAAGGCAATAGCCTTTGCCTAAAAGTTCTTTTGAAAGTAGACTGGGAAGTAAAAGCAGTCAGTTACCTTCCCTGGAATTTGAGTGTAGGCATTAAAAAAAAAAATACTATTACAAATACCGAGATTAGTGTTGTTGTGATAGTCCTCAGGCACAAGAAAGAAGTAGACTGCTGTGGGTCGCTTAAGTGGTGTCCTCCTGTGTTTATGAATTGACTCTCCCATGAACTGTATGTATATGCATTGCTGGTAAGAAAACAAAGGCCTAATATTGTTTTTATGTGTTACATATTTGTGTTTTGTTTCCCAGTGTAGCTTCTGTAAGTAAACTTACAGCAGCAACAGGATCTGTGATTGTTATTGAGTCTGTTTAGAAGCTTTAATTACATGGCCTGTTTGGGTCCCTCTACAGTTATCAAAATTTTAAAATATATTTTTCTGTGTTTTGATGTTTTTCAGTATTCTTCCACAATGCGATACCTTTCATAGGGTTTGGCTTTTTGGATAATGCAATTATGATTGTTGCAGTAAGTCTTTCACCACTTCTATTTTGAGTTAATAAAGAAATTAGTGTGCTCTACATATTCCTAATAATTTATATCTTATACCTATCAAGTTAATTAACATTGAGCAAGTTCAATTTTAAAGCATCATGTATATTAATCATAAAACTTTTGGCAAAGCATGTAGACAAATGCTTATGGTTTATTTAATTGTTTTAACATTTTTATTAAGGAGCAGATGTATGTAATGTGTCTGGTGTTCTTTAGTCGTGTTGGGATTCGTCATCACATATATATAGAGGGTTTTGATTAGTTCCTTGTTCAATTTTCTCATTCTAGAATATCTTAGTAGGTGTTTTGGGGCATAGTCAAGGCTTTAGTTTCAACATTTAACCCAAAGATGTCTTAAGATTCACTTAACAACATCCTCTGCCTTTGTTGCATTATGTAGTATTATAAAAACCTCCCGGGGCTGGAGAGATGGCTCAGAGGTTAAGAGCACTGACTGCTCTTCCAGAAGACCTGGGTTCAATTTCCAGCACCCACATTGCAGCTCACAACTGCCTGTAACTCCAGTTCCAGGGAACCCAGCACCCATGGCAAAACACCAAGGCATATAATATGAAAAATAAGTAAATAAAAGAAATCCCCTTTGCTGTGACCATTGCAAGCTCTGGAATGCCTGGTTTGCCTTTCTCATATTAATGATACCTCTTTTAGTGGACACCAATATTGGTACACTTTCATAACAAATTAGTGATTAAAACACAAGTATTTTAAGACTTTCCCAGTGTTTGTTTACTTTTATTTTATATAAAGATAATGATTTTCTCATAGTTCAGTCAAAGCATCTACTAACTTTTAAATGTGCCTTTATCATCTTTCTTGGATGTTAACACTAAATAGATTGAAGTTTACCTAAGTCCTTGAAAGATGAAAAAGTATAAATTACTTATTTCTTTCTGGGTACCAGTTTGGGAGTTCGAGGGGTAGGTTTTTTTTACTTAGATTCATTTGGGGAAAAAAATGCTTCTCTGAATTAGAACTCTGAGAGCTTATTGTCAGCTTCACAGAATCTAACTCAGAATTTTCTATTAGCTATTATTGAAGAAACTACTCAGAAAGATGGGGGAAGAGAGGAGAAGGGTGGGGGCGGTGGGAAGGGAGGGGAGATGGAAGCGTTTATTTTTGGTATTTTAGAATTTACCTGTACTATGAAGAAACATAAATAATAGATTTAGTTATAAAAATAGAGGTTTTAAAGTAGTTTACATAGCTGTTTTACAGACCGCAGGTGTTATTAGAGTATCTGAAGTCAGTTCACTTGAGATGATTTGATTGCTACAGGGTCTTTCTATGCTTGCATCCAGATTAATGAGGACCTGGTCCGCAGAGGGTCCAGCTGCTCCCTGGCTTAAGAGAGGTTCAGGGGCCACTGTCAGCAGTCATGGAGTGACTCTGGCCTGTGCACAGCTTGGGGTCACGAGCACCACGGCAGGGTTTTTGGTAGCATGCTGTGGCAAGTCCAGACTTCTCAAGGCTGATGCACATTTAATAAATGCCCCTAGAATGTACTTCTAGAATGGTCAGTTTTCTCGGATGATGATGCTGCCCTAGTGTACATATAAGAATAAAATTGATCTGCGTGTCTACAGATGTCCAAAGAGTAGTTAAGTATTTAGAACTGTGCTGCTCTTCTCAGGCTCCTAAATTACTGTTATTAATGCAGAGCATGTCTGCTTGTACTAAAAGCTCCTTTATGTTAAGTTTATAAGTCGTAGTTGATTGTGTGCCCGCGAGCAGGTTGTCTGACGGAGAGCACCTCCATGCTAAATATTTCACTTTCCCATTATTTCGCTCAACATTTTAGTGCTTCAGCCACGTTTTTTTTTTTTTTTTGGTTTTTCGAGACAGGGTTTCTCTGTGTAGCTTTGCGCCTTTCCTGGAACTCACTTGGTAGTCCAGGCTGGCCTCGAACTCACAGAGATCCGCCTGGCTCTGCCTCCCGAGTGCTGGGATTAAAGGCGTGTGCCACCACCGCCCGGCTTCAGCCACGTTTTAATAAACTTCCTTAATAAGGCTCACCCTGAAGACTCAGATGCTGAAAACTGTCCTCTGCTGTTGGCAGTGTAGAGATGGTGCACTTTGACAAAGTAGGGGGTGTGGGGGTGGGCTGAGGAGAGAGGAGTATGGAAGCTAATAGCTTCTTAGATCTCTGACCAGACCAGACCCTGCCTTATAAAAAGCACCCTGTGTGGAGATGGAGCAAAAACCCAGCAGAGCACCTCAGAGACTCCAGTCACTTGAGTTTTGTTATTTTGTGTCCTTCAGGCCTATGCCTCATTCTTCCTTAGTATATCAGAGTAGAGTGTTTTCCCAGACTTGAGATTCTTAACTCCAAGTCACTAATAACCTGTTCACACTGAAATCTGTCTTCAAGGATACATCCCCTTGGATACAGTTTTTACAGAAACAAGTGTTTTAAATCACTGACTTCAACACCAGATGAAGAGGAATGATTTTGACTGTCCCTATAATGAAGGCTATTTCAGAGAGGGTGACATTTTCCAATGAAGTGGTTTATTTGACCCCAGACGTTAAAATAGATAAATAATACAAGGGTAGACTCTCTGAAAGGGGAATGAATAATCATTCTGTCCTAGCAATGTGTTTTTCTTTCTGTTTGTTTTGTTTTATTTTTACCCCTTTACCATACTTTAAAGCACAGATGATCTTTCACATTGTGGAGCAGATGTGAGTTTTCCAGACAGGACAAAGAGTTGAGTCTTCTGCCCTGTCATGTTATTATAAACTTACTTTCCTCCTTCCTGTTAGATGTGCATTCCTGGCTGCTACCCTCTTTGTAGCCATGAGAACAAGCTTCTGTATAGCCAATTATAATAAGGTGAAGAAGACCTTTATTAGCTGTTAGTAATACTCAGCCTTAGGGTATATAGCTTATTATACTTTTATATTGCTGCATTGCTTTTCATAATTTATATTTTAGTCATTTGGGGAATTGCTTTGTTTTACAATTCAATTAGGATGGAATTTTTTTAGAATAGATTAATTGTAAGATAAGTGTAACTGAGGTGATAAAGTGTTACTTTGATAACTATTGTTAGATTTATTCATAATTCCTATCTCATCTATTAATTTTTAAAAAATATATCACAAAGTAAAGAAGTAGGAAATTGTCCCCAAAACATCTTTGAATTTATATGAAGGTTTTATGCCCTTAGAAGGACCTTCAAGCACCCCAAATTTCACCAAATGATAAAGCACACATGCTAGCAGATACTCTACCCACAGAGCTACGTCTTCAGCTCACACACAGTTTTTCAGATGCATATTTTTAAAGAGGTTTTTCTTGGGTCATTGACAATGATTCATTGCTGTTAAGGGTGCTGTGGCCTGTGCACATCTCTGCTCTAACATCTTTACATTTATGTAAGAAAAACGTGTGTCTTTGTGTTTTTTTTTTTTTTTTTAATTTTCTGTGCTTTCTTTTTTATTTCCCTTAGAAGTCTGTTAACTTTAGGTGCCTTTAAAAGTTTATAATGTTTCGTGCCTGGGAGAGTGGTGCATCAATCAGGCTGTTTGGTCATATTCAGCAAGAATTATGTCTTCAAGGGGCAGAGGAAAGCAGAGGGCAAGAGAATTGAGGAAAATGACATCCAGCTTTAGTGCTCTGTACTGACTGAGCAGCGGAACATTTTATATAGCACAGTAGATAGCCTCCCCCCCCCCCCATGTTAAGATTTGAAATTTTTAAAAATTTTCAATGCCAGTTTTCTAGGGCACTCTTGAAAACGAAGTTTACCTGTAGCTGAAGTTGTTCTGTGTTCTGCCCAGTCTTCAGTCTCTCAGACCCAAGTGAACACACAGAGGCTTATATTAATTAAAACTGTTCGGCCATTAGCTCGGGCCTACCACTGAGTAGCTCTTACAACTAAACTCAGCCCATTTCTGTTAATCTATATGTTGCCACGTGTTCTGTGGCTTTACCTGTTTGCCATTACATGTTGCCTCCTGGATGGCGGGCTGGCGTCTACTGACTCAGCCTTCCTCTTCCCAGAATTCTCCTTGTCTGTTTATCCTGCCTATACTTCCTGCATAGCTACTGGCCAGTCAGCTTTTTATTTATCAACCAATCATAGTAACACACATTCACAGCATACAGAACATCCCACAGCATTTACTTTTGTGAAGGATTGGAAGGAACTGAATTAGCAAAATAGACTTGGGGCCTCCTCCTGTGTGTGACAGCCCAGGAGAGTCCCTGCATCTCCGTCACCTCGGTTCCACCTCTGTAAAGTGGGTGGGAAACATGAGCCCCTCTTTTTTCCCCAGGGGGGGAAGATAAATGTGGGAACCTCTGACTCCCAGTGAGTAAATCCAGTGGGATGCAGTGGTCCTCATTCTTAGTGTAGGTTTGTCAGACTAACTCTTCCCGCTGCTGCACTGCCTAATGGCTAAGGAGCTAAAAGCTTTGAGGAAAGTCTCACTAATGGCAGCTTCCCTAGAGAATCATCTAGTCTTTCACATCTCAATGGAGTAAATAATAGCACAGTGTGTTTCAGAGTTTAGCATCTAAGTGTCAATCTTTTTGTTCAAGGAGTTTTAAAGCTTATTTCTGTGTGATAGAAAAGTAGAATTAAGAAATTAGATTCTCAGTGAAGAATTATTACATGTGTTGCTATTTATTTTTAGGGAGGCTCAATTTTAATAGATGAAATGTTTTGATTATTTCTTCACGAATATACACACACACACACACACATACATATACATATGTGTGTGTGTAAGAATTAAGTGAATCACCTCACATACTGTGCACATTCATGGATATATTTGTGTGAAATTATGTTGCAGCAGCATGTTGATTTCACTACACAGTCTGTTTTTATTAGCACTTTGATATTCTTTGATGGCCATGTCAGCTTTAATTTTTTTCCCAATTACTTTTCAGGGAACCCAAATCGAATTGTCTATTGGAATTATTTTGGGAATTTCAACAATGGCAGGTATTTAATAATAGTGAATGTTAAAATTCTATTGTCTGCATGTTGTTTAAAAATGTCAGTAAGTTAGGTTTAGAAGACAATTTATTTGAAATGATTTGCTCATTGAGATACTTGTTTAGATATCTCTAATCCTAATCTTCTGGTTCCTAGTTTCTGTAGATAGCAGGTGTTGTTTCCTGAGAAATTGTAACTAATTTATGTTAGTTATGGGTAACACTACTCAACTCAATTGCCTGTGTGAAGGCAAGTTTGTCTCCTAACTCAGCGTTCCCACTACACATTTAAATGAAGTGCTTTCCTTCCTGTACTTTCTTGAATTTGGAGTTGCCTATGCAGCTTTGCTCCTGAGCTTCTACTATCCAAATTCCCCGAAATAAATACCACACTAAAGACACAAGAATGAAATTTTGATATTGAAGTAAGAATAGAACATTTCTGCTATAGAGGTAAACACTCTATTAATGGAGGTAGGATGTTCTGATTTTAGGATTATGTGGTCTGTTAAACTCTTGGCGCCTAGAGCTCTCCCTGAGCTGCTTCTAACATAGTTGTTACAGCAGAGAAATATGTTGACTCCAGCAGACCAGAGCTCAGTGCCTCTCATGTGATGTAATACTGTGACTTCTGCTGGCTTTGTTTTGGTAATTCATTGTGTGTTTTTCAAATTTCCAGCTGCTGCTTTGGGAAATCTTGTTTCAGATTTAGCTGGACTTGGGTAGGTCCATTCATGATTCATTTCTGAAGTTACGTGCTTATATGTTCTTGTCTTTATTCCTTTCTAATAAACAAGCCTTTTAAAGGGACAGTTATTTTCCTTTGGGTGCTAAAACTAAAAATTTAAGTTGAATATTTCTAAATCAGTAATACTAAATATTTGGTGGAAATCAAATGCAGTTGTTGGCAATGAGTCTGTAAAACTGACTCTGTTTCTGAGGCTGGATAGACCCATATCACTATGTTATATACACTATGTTGTATCCTAAAATGATAAAAATGTACACAAAATGGAGTTTCTATTTACTGAAGATACATTTTTGTGGACGTCTTCAATGGGAACAGAGAATTAAAAATAAATTCTGTCGTTTCCCCACTTCCATATACTTGCAAAACCCCAAAGATAAATAGATTTGAGGATACTGATCTACAAAGGAAGTAATATCCAACACTCTCCCCCCACCTCCTTCCCTCCCTCCTCCCTTCCTCTCACTGATGTTAAGAGGTTGATCATAGGGTTTTATGCATGCTAAGGATGTGCTCTACCACTGAGCCACACCTCAGCCTCCAAAGCGTATGTTTGCTTGGCCATTTTTTCTTTCTTTCATATGCCAGGAATGATAACACAAATGGGGGATGGCTGCTTCGAGAAAAGCCATGTTTCTCACTTTCTTCCAGGTGGCAGATGGCCTGGGCTGCTCCCTGGGCCTGGGAAAGCTGGGAAGTTGGCATTAAATATTAGGACAAACATGTCTCTCTTGTTCTGTCATGACATTGTCTCCCTTTCTTGGCTACTCAAGTGGTATATTTTGAGATTTGGGTTTGGATCTAATAAGATTCTCTTTCAGCTCACAGTAGGCAGAGACAGTTTTATAAGTGATTTGACCCTTGATATTAGGCATCTGTACTGGAGTTTGTGGCCAAAACTAATTTTAATTTTTTTTCTTTAAGGCCATGATTGGGATTTTATATTTCTAGAATTCTTGACACAAATCTTATCTTGATACAGCCTCTTTGACATTCCATTTCCCGTTTTTCAAACTTCAAGCTTCATATTGACAATATTGCAGCTTCTGTATAGCTTTCTGATATATTAATAGAACCAACTGATAGATTCTAAAGCCACTTAACTTTAGATTGAGATGTAAAGGTTTTTATAAAGAGCTTTTACATTTGAGAACTGTTTCCTCCCTTCTGTTTACACTGTCTCTCCCAAGCATCACATTTTTTATGTTCTCAGATGCACATTTTCAAACACTTCACATCCGAAGCCAGAATCTATCTTATGATTGTCAGTGTGCATAATTGACAAGTTTTTTCCTCCCGACAGTACTTAGAACAAGATTATATCCATCAGTGATGGCAACTTAGAATCCCCGGTTAGGCTAAAAGTTTTAAGCTGTCATTCTTAAGTACATTAGTCTTATGAATTTTAAAAACTGTTACTTTCTGATCATAGTTATCAAATTAAATTATATGTTCAAGTACTTTGCTTTGAGTTTGAAGTAAGTGCAGCAGTTTTAATTATTTATAAAAAAAAATTATGTACCTTGATTGGTCTCTTAAAGATAGAGATTATATGCTCTGAGTCACTGTGTGTTAAATGTGGATTTGAAAGTATTTTTAAATCAGAGTTCTATATATTATAGAAGGTATAAAATTTCTATGCTTTGTCTAGAGTGGAGTCTAGGGACAAAACTTGCATTTTTCCTTGTAGTGATTGGTTTTTACTATATGAAGACATTTGCATGTCTTTCAATTCTCTTGTTCTTTTGTTTTCTTGAAGCCTTGCAGGTTACGTTGAGGCTTTGGCTTCCAGGTTAGGCCTATCAATTCCTGATCTTACGCCAAAGCAAGTTGACATGTGGCAAACGCGTGTTAGCACACATCTGGTAAGTCGTGTGGCTCATGAGCATGAATCTTGGTGGCTAGCAATGGCAGTTTTGAGACTATAATTGATTTGAGTGGAGTTGCTAAGAAAAGTTACCCAGGCCTTGGACATTCTCAGAAAAATAGTTTGTTATCCCTTTAGTTCCATAAGTATACCTGATTTTTTAAAAATGTTATCCAGCTTGACTAGTTAAGGGCTTGACCACCCAAAGGTTTTTGTTATCCTGGAACTGATCCCCATTATACAGTAGTCGTTCATTGGTGGTCATTTCTGAGCGTTTCTGTGGACGGATAGTGAAGGAAAGATCAAATAGTAGTGGATTGAAATATTAATGGAGGCAAGGATCATCTTGCTCCAGCATTTCTAAAGGGAGCAGTAGGGGACCCTTGGTTCCCCTGGGTAATAGTGAAAGTGATTTGAACAGAGTGGGTGGGCAGTGGGGGGCGGGGGGCGTCTCTTAGCAGCGGTCATATCCTAGGGCAGTCAGGAGCCAAATAGAATAGTCTTTCTGTTAAAATATAAATGAACAAAATATTGAGATCGAAATAAGAATTTAGGACTAACTATAAGTATCTGGACATAGCAAATTTCTTCTTGTTATACCGCTGAGACTTTAGTACTTTAAAAATGTTCACATACTGGCTGTATCTTCATATAGCTAAGCGTTCATGGGATTAAGTATTGAAGGGTATCAAATCCAGATACACTGAGGATAGTTGGCATGTTTTCCCTGCCTGTGTTCTGTTCTTCTGACATTAAAATATATGAATGATTAAAAAAATATTTCCACTTGAATATTTCTTTGATGTCATGTTCATGGTAAACTTTTCCCTTGTTCCTTTGAACTTTAAAATGGCATGTTGAGTGTTTGGTAGCTTATTTTAATACTTAGGTTTCTCTAATCAGCAGGAATACAAGTGTAGCAGAAGCTTCAGTGTGTGGCAGTTGACTGTTGTCCTCAATGCTTGTGTAAGGACGCCTCTGTTAAAGATACGTGATGTTAAGAAATGCTTTCTCTGTTTCCGTAGGGCAAGGCTGTTGGGGTGACCATTGGCTGCATTCTAGGAATGTTCCCTTTGTTTTTCTTTGGAGGAGGTGAAGAAGATGAAAAACTGGAAACGACAAATTAATCATCTTAGAATACCTATAAAAAGATGTAAACTAATGTACCTCAGTCATTAAAAAATACTGTCACAACATTTAGTGGCGAAGACAGTAACAGTGTATAAATACGGGATCAAATAATTCAGCATGTATTATGGAAACACTAACTTATTGTGGCTTGGACTTCTTATGACATCTTTTTAAAAACCATTTAGTGTCATTTTATGTAAATTGTTGAGATGCTTTTCATCAGTGGCATCAATATGTTATCGTTTCCTCCTCTCTATGTATCAACATATTATTTAACTTTTAGTCATTGATACTGTACTGTACTGACTTGGGATTTGCTTATTTGTTATGTAACATGTACATGCATGGAAATACCTATTTATGTTTTTTTTCCTTGATGGTTATAATTCAATGCTAGGGTTTCTCCAAATTATTTAAGATGTTTAATATCAGTTAAAATTTTGACTCCCTGCCTGGTGGCATCACTTCTGTGCTATTTCACAGTAAACATTTACAATCATAGGATTTCACTCATTTTCAAAGCTTTCACATCTATTCCAAATGAATACAGATTTTAAGTATTTTAAGTATATCTGGTTCATTTTAATTTTGAACCATGCTGTCTTAAGGGCCAGAAAGAGCAATTTTCCGGCCTTCCTTTTACATACCCCATATATGCTAACAAGTGTACTTATTTCTAGTTGACTTTTGACCTTTCATTTCCCAACTTTGACTAACGACACCGTGAGTTCTGGTTTGTGAGGGAAAGACGGTACTTCAATACTCACTGTCTTTTAAAAGATTAGGAAATTAGTGTGAACTATGGAATTTGATAGGACTTTTGGAAATCATGGTAATTTTTTTTAAGGGAAATAGAAAAGGGAAGCTTTCAAGGTTTATAGAGAAAGTGGCAGAGTTCAAGTGGTGTTTGGAAGGGTCGTGAGGATCAGTTCTATTACTTTGGAAGGATTTTTTCCCCTAAAGTGTTTTTGTCTCATCAGAATGAAATGAGTCTAAATATTCCATGCTCAGAATCCTTATCTCATTAGATCTTGCTTTGTGATTTTTTTGGATGAATTTTTTAGAAATAACATGTATTTCATATTTTGCTGTTTGCTATATAGTCTAGTCAAATGTAACATGAGGAGAGAATCTTCCTCCCATTTTTGGAGATTTTTCTTCTGTGGTTATTATAGCACATGGTTGGTGAAATCTCCTCTGTCTGTGCTTGTATGTCTGAATGAAATCAAGTGGGAAGCCTAGGTTTTAATTTTCTGAACCTTTTAAATTTCTCCCGTGTGGTCTACATACGTTAAAATGTGACAGACTAATTGAACATATGGAAGAGAGGAACTGAAGCTAGAGTTTATTCTTTGGGGAATTAAAATTATTCATATTTGCTAACTAGACAGGAAAGAGAAACTTAGCATGACTATGCCTTTTAAGTCTTGTTTGGGATTTTGTTTGCACATAATTACTTCGAGCTCTTTTTAAAGAAGATTTCTTTTCCATAAGAAAATGTGTCACATACTGCCCCTCTTGCACTTAGGGATGATTTAGTGCTGTCCATTTATCATGATTTTAAGGAAAAATAGTATAAAAACCCATCAGATTCTCATATACTCAAGTAGCATTCTCCTTTGATCAAATTAGAATTCCAGGACTGGAGATGGCAGACAGGTTTGTCTTTTGTGTCTTCTTCCACATAGCACACATGGCTGCTAGGAAGAGGACTCCAGGCTGATGGATTAGAATGCTTATTTCATTTTCTGTGTGAACATGTGAGTGTTGTGTCCGTCCTTTGTATAGACAGATTAGAATGTTTATTTCATTTTCTGTGTAAATACGTGAGTGCTTTGTGTCTGCCCTTGGTGTATTGGTGGCTTTCTTTCCTGTTTTTGTTTTTAAGTGTTGTATTGTGGTGCTTAACTTTTCTTCTTGTTAAATCCCATTTCCAGAAACCTGTCTTGGAGTTTAGAAAGGACTTTGGATTGCTGATTTCCTTTTTCTTTCTCTTAAAAATATCCCAGTCCTTACTGCCGGAATTCCTGTTAACAGAATTATGCCAGTTTCGTTAACTCTTCAGCTATCTATCTGAGTTGTCAAACCATGAAAGATGTAACTTTCACATTGAAAGACATTCAAAAAAAATTTGAATCCTGTTTAATCAATGAAATGTTTTGAACCATTAAAGTACTTGCTTTTCAAAAGCAGACAAACAAAATCAAAGTCTCTTTGTCCTCACCCAAAGGTATCGTTTTCTCAAGCTCTTGTCCTGACCTGACATGGTTCTTTGCACGATGTGATTCCTGAAGATGGTCCCCTTTAAATGAATGACTCCTTAGGACCCTTGTTGAGTGTTTTCGCCACAGAGGATCGGACATCAGCCAAACTGGACCTCCCTGTCTCACGGCTGCTGTTCTCTGTCAGCTCCGGAGCGACAGCCGACTGTCTGATGAGCGGCTGGAGGACTGTTCATTCAGAATTTGTGTTCTTCATGTGCTATGATTTACTGACTTGTTGATGCATGTGAACTGGGTGCATTTTGTTGCCTCTGTATGTTAAATAGTGACCAATGTTTTTACGAAAGAATTGAACAAAAAATATCTTTTAAGACATTTGGAATGTGGTTTTGATTTTAAAGTTTGGTTTTTCTTACTCTCAGAGGGCCTGGGCTATCCTGTCACTGAAGGAAACGGGATTAATAAATGCAGGTTTGTTATGAGGTAACAAACACACAGAGACACTACTTGGAGCAGTACACACACACACACACACATACACACACGCGCGCGCAGCGCTGCGCGCGCACACACACTTTTAAAGTCCCCATTGACACTGAACCCTGTGGAGTATGAGAGAGGAATGATGCTTACAGCCCCTGTGCACAGACTGCTCAGCCATGCTCAGTTCCCATCATGCTTTCTCCAGCCAGGGCGTTGTGAAAGCAGTAGAAAGGTTTTCAGTTTTATTTGTTAGTTCCTTGCAGATTTCATCCGGTGCATTTTGATCCTGTCCCCACTCCCTACCCAAACTCTTCCCAGGCTCTTTTTCCACCCAGCTTTGAGCCCCCACCTCACCCTGTCGAGGCCGAGTTGTTGCTGCCAAATGTTGTTGGCTGTGGGACCCTCACTGGAGTTTGGCTGACCTGTCAGGGGCCAGCTATACTCACTCTAAGAGAAAACTGACCCTCCTTTCCCAGCCGCTAACAAGGACAATACAAGTTTCTGTTTTCCAACAAAAGCTGGTGTGAACTGATTTGAAGTAAATCTGCCTAATTTTAGAATTCTGCTTTCTTTATGGACATTTTTATTGTACTGTGTAATGAAGTGTCTGGGGAATAGAATTATAGTTTTTCATGCCCACCCCACCCTACTGCTTTTGAGAGATGCTCTGGTTTCTGGAAACTCTTATTTAAGCTGTTTTTTTTTTTTTGTGTGTGTGTGTGGGGGGGGACTTAGAAAGTGGATTCCCATTCTTCCCATGAATTATTTGGAAATGATAAGAAATGGGTTTGGGACTCTAATGTGATGATGGTGGTAACAGCACTGTCACCTCCCTTTTTATCAACACTGCCTGTTTGTTGCTGAGTGCCGCAGTGTTTCACACACACACACACACACACACACACACACACACACACACACACACACCACCACAGTTAATCACAACATCGTTGTGGTGCATTTGCCCTGTTTTACACTGAGTAGGCCGGGGTGTGGTCAAGGTGTGTCGATGCTTACCGGTGGACTTGAATTAGTTGTGTCCCTGTGTACAGCATTTGCGCTCAGATACTGTGCAGTTGGGGCATCATTTGCTTGGACTCTGAGTTAACTTTTAACAAAGAAATTTTTTTTCAAAGAAGTCCTTTTCTCATATGTAACATAGCAATTCTTATTTGAAATCTCAAGGTGTACTTGGCAAATTCTGTGTTTGGTTACATGCTGTGGGCTAGGGACTGTCCAAGGCACCAATAACTAGTTTGTTTGGGAGGTGCTTTTTTTTTTTTTTTCCTTTTCTTTTCTTGACACAAAGTCTCACGGTGCTGATATCAAACTTGGGCAACTCTCCCATCTCTGCTTTTGGAGTCTTGGAATTACAGGCCTGCACCACCAGATCGGGCTTGGTATCTCTGTCTTGGTGAAGTTTATTCTGCGGGGAGCAAAGGTAGGGGAAGAGAACATAAAAATAAATGCACACTTATTATTTTTTTTATTCTGTTGGTTGATAAATGAAACAGGGTCATGGGATTAGAAAATGCCAGTGATCATAAGTGGGGTTACCAGGGAAAACTGGAGGAAGTGAGCATGCATAGTACAGATATCTGTGCAGAAAAAAATGTGCTACATTCCAGGAAGCTGATGGTACATCTCAGACATAAGAAATAGTATTTCACCTCGGGGTGCGTTGTGAACGCTTTCCTCATTGTTTCACCAGGCTCATGTCTGGATTAACCCTAAATATTAGCACATAAATGTCAGGACACGTATACACTGGATAGTAAGCTGATAGAAGAAAGTGACCCAGAAGCATGGAGAAGTGATCTTAGGTATGCAAAGTCTGTAGCTAATCTGTCTGAAGTAGCTAGGGTTTGTCATGTGCTCATGACCACACAGGAGCCACTTGTTTTCAGTAAGTGATGTATGCTGCTGATACATGAATTAGGACTGACATCAGAATTAGGTCGGTTTCAGGGATTGGGGCTTTTTGGGTTTTTTTGGTTTTTTTTTTTTGTTGGTTTGTTTTCCTTTTAGCAAGGGGGTAGTAATCAAGACAGGCACATACAATGTTGTCATTCGAGGCGTCAGGTTTTTGAGGGTCTCCTGATGATGTAGACTCCTGTTTCACACTGGTGTTTGTGTGAAATCTCATGGCACTGGGCATAGATGCCATTGACATGTCCCATAAGCTTAGGTATGAAGACGTGTGAGCTTACTTTACTGCCTTGAAGATTAAAAAGGCTTTGGAGAGATGATATTATCTTTCCATAGTTACTGGAACTTCCTGTTTAAGTGAATGAAATGTGAGGGAGACGGTGTGCAGGAGACCCTCCAGAGTAGTTGCATGAGGCGAATGTGTGAGAATTGTGAAATTCAGTTGACCTGGCTTTTGCTAATAGTATGCAGGCTATACATTTGCATAGTGTTTTAGCATTCACAGAGCACTTAATGTAGATGCCGCACAGAGATGGGCTTTAAAAGGCAGTTACACACAAGCAAAAACAAACCGGGAGGTCCCTTGATTGGAAATAAGGACCTTTTCCTTCTGGCACACTGACCCGGAAGTTCCAGCAACACCCTCCTCTGTCCTGTCAAACCCCATGTTGTACGTCTCTGTACCCTTCTCTTCTTTTTTTTTTTTTTTTCTCCACCTCAACAACAAAAACAGTATTTAGGATACATGTCACATTCTAGGCTGTGACTTTAAAAACATGTCAATCATTTTCTCTTTCCTTCTCCATTCCTTCTTGGGAGAAGAAGTTCATGTAGTTTATTTCACTAACATTGTTTTTTTAAAGAGACACTGGACATATTTTTTTTCCATTCTTATTTATTTAAAAAAAGTTTTTTCATTTTGCATATCAATCGCAGTTTCCCCTCTCCTTCTCCCGCCCCCCTCCCCAAATCCCACCCCCATCCACTCCTCAGAGAATAAGGCCTCCCTTGGGGAGTCAACAAAGTCTGGCAGGACCAAGCCCCTCCCCCTGCATCAAGGCTGAGCATGGTATCCCACCCTAGGGAATGGGCTCCAAAAAGCCAGTTCATGTACCCGGGATAAGTCCTGGTCCCACTGCCAGGGGCTCCTCAAACATATATAGCCACGTAACTGTCACCCACATTCAGAGGGCCTGATAGTTCAGTCCCATTCATGTTCCCTAGCTAACAGGCTGGAGAGATGGCTCAGCCGTTAAAGGCTAGGCTCACAACCAAAATATTTCACTTCACACTTTTGACTGTTCTTTCTTCTACATTGACTCAGAGAAAGGGCCCATATTCTGTAAGAAAAAGTTCAGCCAGGCCTTAAATCTCAGCTCTGAGGAAGAGATGTCTCCCCCTACCCACTGTCTTCGGCGCACTCTGAGTGGAGCCTGGTCCTTACTAGGTGTTCAGCGACTGTCTGAGTGAACGGTCACCCACGTCACTCTGATTTTCTTCGTTGGTACTGAAGTGCTGACTTGCTTTTTGGAGCATTCTGTATAAGATTGTCTCATTTCCTGTGTCACATTCCGTGTCACCTCTGACTTTTTCACATTTTGCGTCTGGGAGGCTGGTTACATGCAGTTCTCTGGGCCAGTGTTTTGATGACAGGTAACCAAGTGCTTAAAGAAAATTGGGTATGTATACCCTATTTAAAAATCAATTTCAAGGGCTGGGCGTGGTGGTGCACGCTTTTAATCCTAGCACTCGGGAGGCTCTGGCGTGAGTTCTCGGAGAGTTCAAGGCCAGCATGGTGTACTACGCTCTAGTTTCAAGCCAGCCAGGGCTACACAGTGAGACCCTCTTTCCAAGGAAATAACTTTCTTGGTTTATTCCCGGAGCATGCATGTTGGAGCCAATGGCTACCACTCTACTTGCGTGGGTGTTCTCATTTTTCCCAGACGCTTTGCACCAAGGCTGTTGATCTCCAGTTTTGAAACTGCCCATTCCCATTCCCCAACCCCTTTTCCTGAACATGATGTTATTTCTCCACTTCAGGGCTTAATAGCACGTGGGTTCTCATAAGAGAACAGCTTTGTGATCGATTGTTTTAAATTCAGTATCACAAACCAAAGATTTTAAGCCTCTTGTTTTCAAGATGTCTTTATTCTCCAACATTTGAGGTTCCCCAAATGGCTTTTATATATGTGTGTGTGTGTGTGTGTGTGTGTGTGTGTGTGTGTGTGTTTGGAGATATAACTCACAGGTTATAAAAAATAATCTATCAGTTTAGTATAACTACAAACCAACTTCATGTTTACATAAATGATACATATTTTATGGAAGTTATTTTTCAAAAGCTAGTGAGGAGAACTGGGGAGCTTTCTAGTTTTTCCAAATGTCTTTGACATCGAACTTGCTAGAGACAGCTGGGTTCTCATCTGTTTTGATCTGTTGGATGTTGTTTAGCTTGGGGAAGATAAAGCCTCACACAGATACCTGTTGCAAAAGGAAGGAAGGAATATATGTTAGTGGCCTTTTGTTTGACTGTGGGTTTGAGCTCACACTGTAAGCACATGGTAACAAAGAATACAGTGTCTGCTTAGGCCTGCTTGGATCAGGGCTGCCTTTATCCACACTGTCCTCCCTTCTTACTCCTTCCCTCCCTCCCGGGTTCCCTCTCCCTCACTCCCACTCTTCCCTCTCCTCTCCCCTTTTCTCCTTGCTCCTTCCTCTCCTGTCTAGATGAGTTTCCCAGGTTGAGCCCAAATTCCCGGGCCCAAGGCATTCTGCCCCGACCTTCTATAGCTTCAGTCACATCCTTGCTTTCACTGGTGACAAAGTAATAATGCCTTAGTGTATTAGGAAAAATGTTTTGAATTCACAAACTGTTTAAAACAACAACAAACACTGAAACTCCGCAGAGCACACCTCTGCTTTGAGAACTGGTTTGAACTGTCCTGATTATATTAGCTCTAACT